AATGCTTTTATCTCATCTCTCCTGCATTAAAGATTTTTGATGTCACAATTTACAGATTTTTATATTGTTTCCGTTAACAAATCATTGTAGCTTTTTTTTTTTTTACTTTTTATCTTTTGTGTATTTACTGTGTATTTGTGGCTATGCTGAAGCTTACAAAATATCTTGTAGTTATGACAGGCAATTTTAAGCTGATAGCAAATTAACTTTGCTTGCACAAACAAACAATGCTTTTATCTCATCTCTCCTGCATTAAAGATTTTTGATGTCACAATTTACAGATTTTTATATTGTTTCCGTTAACAAATCATTGTAGCTTTTATTATTTTTAACCCTCATACTATGTAAGTGAAGTGTAGGCCACCATTACAGTATTAGTCTATTCTGATTTTGACTGTGTACTTACTTTTACCAGTGAGTTTTATACATTTATATGTTTTTGTGTTACTAATCAACATTCTTTTATTTTGACTTGAAGAACTCTTTTTGACATTTCATGTAAGACAAATCTGGGGGATGAACTCTTTCAGCTTTTGTCTGGGAAAATCTTTATCTCATCTTCATTTCTGAAGGACAGTTTTTCTAGGTACAGTATTATTGGCTGGCAGTTTATTTCCTTCAGTACTTTGAATATATTGTCCCATTCTCTGTGAACCTATAAGGTGTCTGCTGAGAAATTTGCTGTCCTTATTGGAATGTATGTGTCATTTACTTTTCTCTTGCTATATTCAGACTCTTCCTTTTGTTTTTGATATTTGACAGTTTGATTATAATATGTCTTTGTGTAGTTCTTGTTTGAATTGATCTGATTGGAGGCATTTGGCCTTCTTGTACCAGGATATTTACGTAACTTGCCCAAATTTGAACTGTTTTCTATTCTTCTTTATGTAAGTTTTCTACTCTTTTGTCTTTCTCTTCTCCTTCTTAAACTCTTATAACTTGACCATTTTCTCTTTGGACGCTGTTCCATAAACCTTGTAAGCTTTCCTCGTTATTTTTCATTCTTTTTTTTTCTTTTATCCTCCTCAGACTATACATTTTCAAATAGTTTTCCTTCAGGTTCACAGATTCATTCTTGTGCTTGATCAATTATGCTGTTGATGTTCTCTATTGTATTTTCTATTTCTTTCATTACGCTTTTCAGGTCTTGATTTTTATTTATTTTCTTTTGTGTAATTTCAGGGTCTCTGTAAAATTCTATTTTTGGTAATTTATTGTTTTCCTGATTCCATTGAATTTTTTTCTCTGCATGTCATTTATTTTATTCCCTGAACTTTCTCTAGACAATTAGTTTGAATTCTGTCAGGAAGTTTCTATATCTTTATTTCTTTGGGGTCAACTGTCAGGAGATTATTGTACTCTTTGGATGGTATTTTGTCTTCTTGGTTTTTCATGTTTCTTGTTGCCTTATGTTCATGTCCCTACATTTCAAGGACTGGCAAAGCCCTTATACAGTCAGCCCATCCAGAGATTCTGGGTAGGCTATTTGGTGTGGTCCAAAAGCCTAAATCAGAAGTGTCAAATATTATATTTTCACCCATTCACTAACCTATTTCTTTGATAGATAGCACTTAAAGATACATATATACCACAATATTTAAATATTTCCAGACTTTAATATTCAAATATTTTCATATAATTGTTTATTCTCATAGAGTCTAAGATAAGAAATGTTTTTATTTCCTCTAGGCAAAATTTCTTCATAGTTGAAATTACACTGCTGCTCTGTTGAAGTCTAATTAGTTTTTTCTTTTTTGAGCTTGGGAGCTTGACAGTCTCATAGAGTTCTTTTGAGGATCAAATATTATAACATTCGAAATACTTTAAAATGTGTTATTAAAATGTAAGATAATATTCTGAACCATCAGATGAATTTTGTAAATGAAGTCCTAGTCTGGGGCATTGTGTTAATATTTTTCTAAAGATGTTATTTTACATATGAAGTTATTTTTTCCTCCACAAATACCAAGAGTATTTAAGAGAGTAATTACTTAGATTCTAATTTTATAAATAAAATCTCCCCTTTCCTCACAGTTCTGTACTTTTATAAGTAAGGAATTTCCATCTGTATTAGCTTATTAATCTATTATCTTTGTCAATTGGGAAGGAGTGGGGAATGAGAACCATATGCTTCATTAGACTATCATTTTAGTTTCAGTGTAACTTTAAATAGCTTTGGATGGGAATACTTAAATATATTAAAGCAGCACATTAAATTTGACCTAGTTAATAGTCCAATCTTTTTACTGTCAGTTCTTTAATTTTTTCCATTTGTTTTATATGTTTAAGCAACTGATAATGTTTTGAATAGCTTTCATGAGGGTTTAGTTGTTGTTTTTGAAATGAATTGCAAATTATACAGGTAAATGAAATAATTGTATGTTTCTCTTATTTAGCAATTACAGAGGGATCAACTTTGGATGAAATTACTTCAGACAGAAAGTTATCAAGTGTAGCAGGATGCTATCTACAATGTAAGAAGAAAAACAGTTTGTCTTCTAAACTCCCAGAACCTTCAATATCCAAAAAGTTAAATAAAAAAAGCCACCAATATTCTAGCAAAATTATGGAGGAGACTGGTGGCCTTGAATCTAAAAGATCAAAAAATGCTTGGGAAATAAGAAAATTTCTGGATGGGGTAGGCAGCAGTAATGCAGGAGTCCAAGAACCATATTCAAAGAATGGCATAAACTTTAAAAAACAATCAGAGAAGGGTGAAATTCATGACTCAAAGTCTAAACCACAAAGCTTGAAGAGTAGTGCAAGCCTCATTAAGTCTCTGGATAAAAGTAGTATTTCTAGTATCCCAAAACTTCAGAAGTCAGCTGTGAGAAATTGTTCCAGCCTCCTAAAACAAGTTTCATCTATGGAAAAAACTGCACTTAATGCTCTGGGTAAGTAAAAATCTAGGTTCTTGAGTTCTTCAATCATCTCAGAAATAAATAGAATGAATTAATTATTAGATAGTTACAAGCATTTCAATTGCTAATACCTTGGGTAACCATCACTTCTTTTTTTTAAAAAAAATTTAAAAATTATTTATAGAGATAGGGTTACCCAGCCTGGTCTCAAATCCCTGGCCTCAAGCAATCCTCCTGCGCTGGCCTCCCAAACTGCTGGGATTACAGGCATGAACCACCATGCCTAGGCAAAAATTCTGGAAATGTACAGTAGTGATGGTGGCACAACTTTGTAAATGTGATTAATGCCACTGAATTGTATGTTTATTTGTTATTTATTTTTTTGAGTCAGAATCTCACTCTGTCACCCAGCCTGGAGTGTAGTGGCATAATCCTGGCTCACTGCAGCCTTGACCTTTTGTGCTCAAATGATCCTCCTATGTCCTCAACCTCCCACATAGCTGGGAGCATAGGCATATGCCACCACACCCAGCTAACTTTTTTTTTTTTGTAGAGACCATGTCCTACTATGTTACTAAGGCTGGTCCTGAGCTCCTGGCCCCAAGCAGTGCTCCCATCTTGGCCTCCCAAGGTGCTGTGATTACAGGCATGAGCCACCCGTCCAGCTTGCCACTTCTGACACATAGACCAATGGATATAATATTGTGACTTTGATGATAATTCCTTTCCAGATGCCCCCTTTAGGGAGGAGCTTAACTTTTCCTGAGAAGCTTGTTCAGTGATTAATAATTAGAGTCATTAACATTCCCTAGAAAGTACAAGGCCTGGCATCTTTTGGAAATGTTTATTTTGTAATTTATTAAATGTTTAAACAAGTAGGAAATCTACGTGAAATTTTTGCTCAGAGTGCTGTAATTTAAATATATCATATTCATAGTACTTCAGGTATTATCTCTTATGGAAGAAGAATATTAGGAAAAAATTATATTGTGTATCTAGGTCTCCAAGTCTGTAAGAGTTTTCTCAAAGATGAGCAATGGTTTCCCAACCAAGATATTTTCTCTCCCTGTGCTACTTTCATCACAGAAACACTGTATGTGGAACCCAATTAAACATTCCCTCCTTGTAGTCCTCTGCTGAAGTTACTTAAGTCATATTTATTCTGTAAAAAAAACTTACTAACCTTTGTATTATATTTAGTATTTAATGTAATAGATAAAATGATTGTTTAGTGAAAAATCTGTGATTCGTATGTTAATGCATAATTCAAATAACTCAATGGGAAAAAATGTGATCTATTAAGGAGGCACAGTGATGATCATCCTGATTCTGATTCCTTTACCAATGCCCTTTCTGCTACTTTGTGCCTCATTTGTATTTCTGGGAGTTCTTTTTATTTCAATAAGAATTAAAACCTTGGGTTAAAAGAATAATGAAACAGCAGACAGACATGGGTAGAAGAGGCCATCAGAAGAAAATAATATCTACCTTTCTTGTGTAACTAAAATAAAATAATGTCACCTACCCCTGCCATACTTAATGCTCCGAATATAGAGAAGTATGAAATAGTTTCTCTGGCATAACTTCCCAAAACAAATTGATGGTAATTGAGCTTTTATGGAATATGACTGCCTTATGATTTACATTAAAGCAATTCTAACTTTTCATTTTTAAATAATTTTACATTCTTAAGAGGCACAAAAATAGTACAAACATTTCCATATGTTTGTACTCTCTATCAAGTTTTCTCAAATATTAAGATATTATATAACCATAGTACATGATCTAAACCAGGAAATTAACACTGATGCAATACTACTTACTGAGCTACAGACCTTATTCAAATTTTGTCAGTTGTTCCATGAATGTTCTTTTTGAATTCCAGGATCTAATCCAGAATTACCCATTACATTTAGCTGTCACTTGTCCTTAGTCTCCTTCAAGCTGGGATGGTTCCTCAATCTTTCATGACCTTGGCACCTTTGAAGAATATTGACTAGTTGCCTTATATGATGCTCCTCGTTTTGGATTTTTCTTTTATTCCTTCACAAATAAATTCAGTTTGTACGTTTTGGTCAGATTACCTCAGAAGTGATATTGTACCCATGTCAGTGCATCATAGTAAGAAGCTCATGATGTCCATGTCTATTTGCTTCTAAGATTTATTTTTTGAAGATTATGAACTGAAAACATGGTAGAGTAAATTAATGGGAAGGTAAAGGACTCTACATTTTTGTTTGGAATTCTTCAATTTAAACAAAACACTTCGTTTTTTTTATTTCTTGGACTCATTAATTTTACACACACACACACACACACACACACACACACACACACACACACAGAGGCTACAGTGCAGGGTGCGATAGCCCACTGTGACCTCTGCTTTCTGGGTTCAAGTGATCCTCCCACCTCAGCCTCTAGAGTAGCTGGGACTACAGACATGTACCATCATGCCTGGCTAATTTTTGTATTTTTAGTAGAGTCAGGATTTCACCATGGTGGCCAGGCAAGTCTCAAACTCTTGACCTTGAATGACCCACCTAACTCAGCCTTCTAAAGTGCTTGGATTGCAGGTGTGAGCCACCATGCCTGGCTCCATTAATTTTAATCAGAAGTAAGCAGCATTGGCTGGGCCACTGGAACAGGCTGTTCCTCCAAACAAGTAGTTTATCAATGTTTATAGAATGTTAAGACAGTTCTGTGTTTGAGCTATAAGAGAGAGATTAAATATAATATATAACAAAGATATGGAGAGATAAGCAGTCCTGTAAAATCTATAAGGTAATATAAAATAGATAAAACTTGTTCTCTGATTTCTAAAGCTTTTGAGTATTAATTATTCATTTTGACACATAAATCCGGTTGCCTAATAGTCTTCTCATTTTGTATATTTAGAAAACTTTCCTGAAGCTGTCAGTGAACCTCAAGAAAATTACTTTGCTGCAGAAGGACTTCAGTCTATTTTACCTTCAATAGGAATTGCTTTATTAGATAAAGAATCCCAGAAGATTGTGACAGACACTACTAGAAATGGTGAGAGACTGATAACACTGAAGTTTCTGAGAAAATTAGATATTTTATGGGATAGTATTAAATATTGGAGGAATTCCTCTCAATTAGAAATTAGAAATGGGACAGAATGGGCCATTCTAAAGAAAATTCAGATATAAAAATGGAAAATAGTAAAAAAAAAAAATTCCTGTAAGTTCTGACCAAATGAATGGGTTTGGAGGGTATAGGCCTTTCATAGTTCCAAATCATTTCAGTAAAGCTCTTTATCACTATCCCTAGCTGTGGCTATTAATAGTAGGGTGGTACTGGGGAAATTGATCTGGTTGTAGCGAGGTTCAGACAGTAAGACCACAACATCTAAGGGGTACAGAAATTTCTAAGCAAATAGCCCAAGAGTCCAAAGATTAGTAATTGGAGATTACAAAATACAGGGAGAATTAGGTCCAGTGATGCTTAACAATTAAGCTATGCAGTTAACATTTAGATGTTGAATGACATACCCCAGTCACCAGCCTAAACTAAAGGCAGAGTTTAAGTTTCTAGGAAGGGTTTTTATACTAGAGAAGTTGTTTTTATCAGTAACTAAGACTTTTCCACAACAGAAGTTCAATTGAGGAGAGGAAAGAGGAGATATTTTGGGGAAAGACTGATTTCAGAATAACAATTAGAAGTGAATCCTCAGAATCTGGGTACAATTTCTTAGCTAAGGCAAATCTGAAAGAAGATTCAATTAAAAAATATATAAAGAGTGGTGGCACTTAAATTATTAGGCCCTTTTTGCTGCTTATCAAAATTGACATGATCACTCTGAGGTTTTATATCTAAAAGTAGGTAAAACATTGGACCACACTAATACTAGGGAGATAGGGATGGGAATACTTGGTTCTGTCAGGGTTGGTTAGTATTGTTAAGGTGTCTTAATGGATAGCATAGTGAGTGGGTTTTCAAGGTGGTATGAAATAGACTCCTTAACTCTCTCATGGTCTGTCTATATGGACATCTTTCTTTTTTCCTGTATCTGTTAAGGAATTGTTATTTAACCCAGTCCTTTGCATGCAATAGATATTGAAAAAGCAGGGATTGTGTCTTTCTTATTTTTGTATTCTCGGTACCTAGCATGATTCTTGGTACTAAGAAGCTCTCAATAATTGTTGAAATGAACTGACATGATCTAGAAAGAACTATCATAAGAGACATGATATGAAGAAGAAATAGGATGATGAAATGAAGTATCAAGTAAGTTTTAAAAGTAGTTGTATTGGAAAGCTACAGTAATCAAAACAGCACGGTACTGGTTCCAAAACAGTGATATAGACCAATGGAACAGAACAGAGGCATTGAAGGCAATGCCACACATCTACAGCCATCTAAGCTTTGACAAACCTGAGAAAAACAAGCAATGGGGAAAGGATTCCCTGTTTCATAAATGGTGTTGGGATAACTGGCTAGCAGTGTGCAGAAAGCAGAAACTGTACCCTTTCCTGACACCTTACACTAAAATTAACTCCAGATGGATTGAAGACTTAAACATAAGATCTAACACACACACACACACACACACACACACACACACAGAGTTGTATTAAAATGTAAATTTACCTTTATACAAAAATACACCAGAATGTATAATCTAAACTCTTTTTTTAAAAACAGAAAATGGAATGGTGAAGTTAGATGACTTTATAAGTGCTGTCGCCAAGGAGCAAAGTGTTCCTGGATGCAATAGTAAGTAGGAAATTTGTTTTAAAATGATTTAGAGGAAAGAGCAATGTGTTGAGAAGAATTAGGTTCAATAAAACTGGGCTTGCTTTTTGATGGATACTTAATAGTCCTGTTATTCTTAGGCAAGTCAATTGCCAGTTTTTTAAAACTAGCTATGTCAGGGTAATAATAGCTAACTTGTTTACCTCACAGAGTTGTCATGTGAATTTTGCAAGCTGAAGAGTGCTGCATAAATGTATGGTAATAATGATAATGAGGAGATCAAATAGGTAATTAGCCACATTGATTAGGAATTGATGGGTGATTTGGCTTCTATTTTTTTTCAATGGACTTGTTTGAATGAAATACTGGTTTGGTTCACCTTTGATATGGAACAGTTTTAAAAACAGCTTTATCAAGTTATAATTTATGTACATAAAATTCACTCATCCACTGATTTTTTTAAATTTATTGAGTTGTACAGCTGTTACCACAATACCTTTTTTTGCTTGCAATTTTTTAATGATTAAATACTTTTTAGTAAGATTAAAATGAGAAATGAAAGATATTAAGGCTTGCTGTTTTATTTTTTTCTGTTTATACATATGCTAAAAAAGAAAGATTAGCTTTTTGTCTCTTTCCAAAAAAATTATCCAGATAAGGAAAAAAGTACAAAGCAAGAGATTTCCTTTTATACTTACATGAGGAGACTTATGTTAAAAGCTGCATTGTAATTTATCATTTCTGATGGATGTACGTGCTGAAATGTCTGGATTTCTTGAAGACAATATTAGCAAATAGATTTCTTTTAAATAAATGTTTCTTTATGTTTGGTTTGTAAGCAAATAGATTTCTTGAATGCTTCATGTAACCATCATTCACCAACTCAGTCATTGTTCTATTGTTATTCTTGTGAAGTATAAATGTCTTGGTCATACCTGATGATTTTTCCCCCGTTGTGCTATTTTTTAATTTTTAATTTTATTTTTAATTGTGGTGAATAACATATACCATACAATTTACCTTCTTAATCATTTCAATAGCATCAGCTATTGAATTAGCAACCAATCTCCACAACTTTTTAATCTTGCAACACAAGTTCCCATTCAGCCTCTGGCAACCACCATTTTATTTTCTATTTCTATGAATTTTACTATTCTAGATACCTGGGAGGAATCATAAGTATTTGTCTTTTTGTGACTGACTTATTTCACTTAGCATAATATCCTCAAGATTTATCCATTTGTAGCATGTGTTAGAATTTAATTGTTTTAAAAAGCTAATTAATAGTCTGTTATATGTATATAGCACATTTTGTTTGTTTATTAGTTAATGGACATTTAGGTTGCTTCTACCTCTTGGTACTGGGAATAGTGCTGCTGTAAACATGGTATGCAAATATCTCTTTAAGCTCCTGCTTTTAATTCTTTTTAGTATATATTCAGAAGTGGACACAATCCAATTTTATAACATTTCTATCACTCCTGTTTATTCTCTCATGCCCATTTTTAGTTAATCCACACTTCCATTCCCAGACAACTATTTATCTGCATGTACGTCCTGTCCCTACAAATTTGCCTATTTTTGACATTTAAATTTAAATGAAATTGTATAATAGTATAGTTTTTTGTACCTGGCCTTCTTCACTTTGCATAATATATTTTAAAATTTTTTTTTTAATATTTATTGTACTTTAGGTTCTGGGGTACATGTCCAGATCATGCAGGATTTTTGCATAGGTACATACATTGCAATATGGTTTGCTGCCTCCATCCCCCCATCACCTATATCTGGCATTTCGCCTCATGTTACCCCTCCCCACCCTCCCCATCCCCTGCTGTTCCTCCCCAGTGCACACCCCACCCCCACAGAACCCAGTGTTTGATGCTTCTCTCCCTGTGTCCATGTGTTCTCATTTGTTCAACACCTGCCTATGAGTGAGAACATGCAGTGTTTGATTTTCTGTTTTTGTGTCAGTTTGCTGAGAATGATGGTTTCCAGATTCATCCATGTCCCTACAAGGGACATGAACTCATTGTTTTTTATGGCTGGATAGTATTCCATGGTGTATATGTGCCACATTTTCCTTGTCCAGTCTATCATTGATGGGCATTTGGGTTGGTTCCAAGTCTTTGCTATTGTAAACAGTGCTGCAATGAACATACATGTGCATGTGTCCTTATAATAGAACGATTTACAATCCTTTTGGTATACGCCCAGTAATGGGATTGCTGGGTCAAATGGAATTTCTATTTCTAGGTCCTTGAGGAATTGCCACACTGTCTTCCACAATGGTTGAACTAATGTACACTCCCACCAGCAGTGTAAAAGTGTGGGTGTTTCATAGACGCCCTTCATCAGTTCAAGAAAGTTCTCTACTTTTCCTAGCTTATTGAGAGTTGTTATCATTAATTCCCGTTGTATTTTGTCAAGTGCTGTTTCTGCATTTATTGAGATGATCATGTGTTTTTTGCTGGAACCAATTTTGGTGTTTAGTTGAAACTCAATAATCCTTTTATTTTATTTTATATTTTTAATTTTTGTGGGTACGTAGTAGGTATATATATTTACGAGTTACATGAAATATTTTGATATAGGTGTGCAATGCATAATAATCACATTAGGGTAAATGAGATATCCATCACCTCAAGCATTTATCCTTTGTGTTACAAACAATCCAATTATACTCATAGTTATTTTTAAATGTACAACTTATTTTTGACTACAGTCACCCTATTGTGCTAGCAAATACTAGGTGCTTTTAGTATATAACACTGCTGAAGTGATTTATATTTTCGTTAATTTAGTGTTAGAACTAAAATTCATCTTATTAGTGGTATTTATTTTTACTTATATTTAATTCTTATTAGCATACTCCTTTATTTTTAGCGTTGCCTGGTGTCATTAAAGCCATTGATAAAATTAAAGATAAAAATGTGGATTATGAGGATCTAAATACTTGTCTTCAGAATTTTGGTATTTACCTTTCTAAGCCAGAATTTAAGAAGATCACAGAATTGATTGAAGCTGGTGGTGAGTGATATATTTTTAGGCAAAGTGTGTTAACACATCTGGAAGGAGGGTTAACTTGTTATTTTTTTCCTTAGAAAAATGACTCATGTTTTTATTATGAAAAATTAAATTAATACAAAATTATGAAAATACTCAAAAGTACAACAAAACACTCAAAAGGCCATTATTTAGAAATGACCAGTATTAATAGTCTTTTTAATTAAAAAATGTTTAAATTTATTTTTTAAGTAGTCTAAGGCAAACAAAAAGAAAGCAGAATTTGTGATATTGCTATCTGACAAAGTAGAAATCATTCTTCTTTAATGCTATCTGAAAAGCATTAAATGGGGGAAATAAGGATTCATTATTATGTCAAAGCCTACAATTCACAATGAAGGTATATCAGTTTTGAGTATCTGTGCCCATATAACCTAGCAGCAGCTCTTCTAAAGGGAAAGGGTGAGAGTGGCTAGACAGGAGATGGGGGTTATAGGTGAAATAATAATGTCTGTGAGTTGATAATTGTTGATGCTAGAGAGAGTACATAAACATATTACCCTATCTTTCTATTTTGTATATATTTTTTTTACATAATAAGAAGTAAAAAAAGGAACAAATCTAAGTTGTATAATACCTATATAGAGAAAATAAGACTTTGTGAAGACATTAAAATCTAGATAAATAAGCAGGTATTCCATATTTGTGGATTCAGAGACCCAAGACTGTCAATTCTCTAACTTATTTATTCAAAACAATTCTAATAAAACCCTGACTTTTCTGTAAGCTAATTCTAATATTTATATGAATGACCAAAGGCTAAGAATAGCTAAAGCATTCCTGAAGAAGAACATTTATGGAAATATGTGTGTGTTGGGGTTAGGGTTGGGGGGGGAATTTGCTCTCCTGGGTATAAACACTCCTTATAAAGCTATAGTGATTAAATGAGTATGAGAATGGCACAGGGATAGAGAAATTTACCAATGGGACACGATAAGGAACTTCCAAACATATCCACAAACATACATGGCAATATGTATGATAAATTGGTGGGTCACTGGGGAAAGGAGGACCATTTAATAAATGGTACTGAAATAATTACTTATTCAAATGGTAAGAATAGAGTTAGATGCCTGTCTCACACCATATTCGATTAAAATTTCCAGGTGTGAAACTAAGTTTTAGAAAACAAATAGAAGAAAAATGTTCTGACTTAGGAAGGATTTTTAAAGATAGAAAACAAGAAACTGGAAAAGATTGATAATTTTGACTACCTTATAAAGACAGATCTTTTGGCCTCCAACTCCTGGGCTCAAGCAAACCTCTCACCTCAGCTTCTTGAGTAGCTGGAACTACAGGCACAAGCCACCATGACTGGCTCATGAGATACATTTTTATATCCACTAAATTGAGAAAAACTAAGAAATATGTTAATCTAAGTATTGGTAAATATGGTGAAAGTGGTAAAACCACTTTGGAAAACAATATGTAGTATCTTGTAAAGTTTGCACATCCCATGGTTTAGAAATACTATTCATAGCTATAAATCCTAGAAAATCTCTTGCACTTAAGTACCAGGAAACATATTCAGGAATGTTCACGGCAGCACTGATCTTAATGGCAAAAACGGAGAAAGAAAACAACATGATATTCATCCACAGAATGTATAAATAAATTGTGGTATACACCATTGTGTATTCATGTAATGGAAATGCCATATCTACTAAAAGCACAAAAATTAGCTGGGCTTGGTGACACACCTGTAATCCCAGCTACTTGGGAGGCTGAGGCAGGAGAATCCCTTGAACCTGGGAGGTGGAGGTTGCAGTGAGCTGAGATTGCTTCACTGCACTCCAGCGTGGGCAGAAGAGTGAGTGAGACTCCATCTCAAAAATAAAGAAATAAAAATAAAAGTTAAAAACATTACGTATGTTTGAGAGGGACTGGAAGAATTTAGACCAGTTTCCTTGGTGTTTTTCAGCATTTACTTTTCTACTGTAAATTGAATGGCTTTTCCCCTTTATACTTATGTATTTTTATTGGGTAGTATTACCTGATAGATGTAATTATATGTTTCTGAATATATTTTACATAATTCAATATTTTTCGTAATAATTTAATACTTAAAAGATACTGAAGAAAATGTGTTTCTTTTCCTGTAGAAACAGAAAAAGTAAATTTTAAAGAATTCATTGATACTATGATGAGCAACGCAGAATGCTTCTCTGAAAAATTATGTATGTATGAATATCATGTCTTCTGCTTTTTATGGACCAAATGGTTTGATAGATTTTAGAAGAATGTAAACACTCTTTTAGTCTCTTACAGAGCTAGTTATCCTGCAGGTCATCAGACAAATAAATGTCTGGCTTCCTGCTGCTATATCTGGCCTTAATCTCCTCTAATTGCCCCTAATTCTAGAATGCCTTCTACATGCAAGTGAATTAAAAGCTATCATAATTTTACTTTTCATTAGCACACTTATAATAGAGAGCTAGAACTATGTATAGCATTCATTTTGAGGAAAGATTTAAAATGTCTTTTCACTTAGGAAAAATGATACCAGCTAGTGGCTGAGTACTAATTTGAGAATTTCTGGTTATATATGTTCCCATTTCTTTCCATCTTCCAATTTATTCAGTAACATTTATGAACCACTAATATGTAGTAGGCTTTATGTTAAGCTCTAAGTGTGGTAATATGAAAAAGATAGCTTTGCCACTCAAAAGCTCACCATAAAGAAATGTAAGGTCACACATGCATATTTTTAATGGAGTGAAGTTAGTATGCATTCTAAAAATTGGGGCTAAAAGTAACATTGTGTTATTTTGTGCTTACGTGTTGGGTAATAGTAAATTTGAAGTAGAAGCTCTTTTTACCTCACAATGTAAGATTTAATTTGTCTCCTATACAATGGTACATAATACAGAGATATTGTTTTGTCAGTTACTTCATTTTTCCTAGGAATTTCAGTTTTATAGAGATTAAAATCTTAGCACAGAGTTATATAGTATATTACCTTGTCTATCTGTCATTATATTTCATTTCTCATTGTTAATATTGCATGTTTATGTTTACTTCTTCTTCTTTTTTCTTCATCAGACTGCTCAGAGCATGTCATCTTTATTGGTTCCATATACCTAATTGAGACCTTACATCCCTTTACCCCTCCACTTTCTCCTAATCCATCAGTCTCCTCCTGTTTTCACTTTTCTTCCGGTTCAGTTTAAATGATCTTATCTATATATACCTAATAACCTAAACTATCTTGCCTCTGTGTACTTTTGTTGAACCTATCTGGCAAAACTCTCAACTCAGAATGAAACTAATTGCTTGCCTTCTTGTATCTGACAGCATTTCTGGAGAAAATCACACAGCTGTGAAGATTATACAGGTTATAAATAAAATCTTGGTTGCTAATGTCTGCTGACCCTTTCTAACTGTCTAATCTTCCTGAGAATCCATTCTCTATATAGCAGATAGTGACTTTTTACAAATTTGTAGTAAGATAATTCTCTCCCTCGTTTAAAATGCTCCAATGATTTCAAATTGAAATAGTCTGTCTTTTTGTTTTCTACTGTGCTAGACTGAAGAGGAAGTAGGAGACAGAGGAAAATTTTAGGGGGAGATATAGAACAAGCTACTTAATTGTTTTATCAATTGAAAATGTTTCTGAATTCACACTTTAAAAAATCTAAATTCAATCACAATTATTATTTATAACGATTATTCAGTGTTGAGGTCACTGTAAGTTCTTAAAATATTTCAGGATCCTTAAAAATACATTATATTTGAGGTTAAATATTTTATTATATTTTGATATTTGAAAGTTGGCAATTCATTTATGCTATATTTATTATTCTTTTAAACCAGAAAAACCTTAATTTTTGACTTCCAAATGACAGTTTACTGTATTAACTTCTTGGATAAGCATTTGTAAAACTTGTGTTTTATCTACCCTTTAGTATTGCCTGATGCTATTGAAGCCCTCGACAATCTCAGAAAGGAGACGATGAGTGTTTCTGACCTGTGGAATACTCTGTCTAGTTTGAATACTCATTTAAAAAAGGATGAATTCCTAGAGGCATTGAAAATAGTGACAGTTGATGGTAAGTGTTACAAATACTGAAATTAAAAAGTATACAAAGATATTACTCTATTTCCTGTCAACTCTTACTTGGAGTGTTGCAATATGATTGAAATGCCAATATATGCATTTAGGAAATACTGAATAAAGAAAGTTCAGATTGTTTGGCTATTCAATATAAAACTTAAAAAAATATTATTATATAATTTATTATTACTCTAAATTGATCAAATATGCATTGAGTACCTTCAAGTTGCATGGTATGTTACCAGAAAATGGTGTATCCCAATGAACCCAGAGGGCAGGATTAGGAAATGTTAAGAGATCTATTCAAATTTCATAATAACAGTACTTGGAATATTCATACTGTTTTGTTGAAATAGGCTTTTATTTAATTTGGTAGAAAAACACACCTGCTAATAGCTACCACCTCTACTTAGCAAGTTAAAAAAAGTAAACAAAATAAAAACAAAGTTCAAAAAAGTATTGTATAACAAAGACTATAGACTAAAAAATTTAAAGTAAATCTCCATTATTTACTGTTGATATTCTACATGCAAGAAAGAGAGTACACAGGCTGCAGGTAGACATTCTACTCTTTCATATTCTTAGTGCCTAGAAGTTTAAAAAAGGGCCAAGTACTTTAATATTCTTTTATGTGGAATGTTTATACAGAACTAGCTTAGTAACATGAGCGCATTGTCAGGGGTCTTTGTCAAAGAACTGTCTTTTTCTTTGACAAAGATCCCTGACAGTGTGCTCATGTTTATTATCCTTTTCATCCATGAAGCTTCTATTTAGGTGAGGCTAGCAAAATTGGACTTTTTTTATATTGATTATTTTGTTTATTGGGAGATTTGAGGTGAAAAGCATTGATGAAAAAAAGAAGGCTAGTTTGTTTTCTTCCTTTCTTCCTTTCTTCCTTTCTTTCCTTTCTTTCCTTTCTTTCCTTTCTTTCTTTCTTTCGACGGAGCCTTGCTCTTGTTGCCCAGGCTGGAGTGCAGTGGCGCAGTATCTGCTCACCACAACCTCCGCCTCCCAGGTTCAAGCCATTCCCGAGTAGCTGCCTCAGGCTCCTGAGTAGCTGGGATTACAGACATGTGCCACCATGCCTAGCTAATTTTGTATTTTTAGCAGAGATGGGGTTACTCCATGTTGGTCAGGCTGGTCTCGAACTCCCAACCTCAGGTGATCTGCCCGCCTTGGCCTCCCAAAGTGCTGTGCTGGGGTTACAGGCATGAGCCACCACCCCTGGCCAAGAAGGCTAATTTCTACTCAGTAATATAGATTTTCTTCCCTTTTTCTCTGTGGCAGTGCTTCAGGGTCTTTTGTTAAAGTTAATGGAATTTATAGGCAACATGTACCACACAGAAAGTAATAGATAGCTTTTATTTGAACCAGACCAATGAAGTATTATTTTTTGAGATATGAAAATAACTAGAAAAGTATTTATTATGTTAGTAAAAACTCATATATTGTGTTTATTATTCTTTTTTTGTGGGGGGTGGGATAAAGTCTTGCTTTGTGACCCAGGCTGGAGTGCAGTGGCCCAATCTCAACTCACTGCCACCTCTGCCTCCCGAGTTCAAGCAATTCTGCTGCCTCAGCCTCCAAGTAGCTGGGACTACAGGCGCACAGCACTATGGCTGGCTAATTTTTGGTAGAGATGGAGTTTTGCCGTGTTGCCCAGGCTGGTCTCAAGCTCCTGAGCTCAGGTGATCTACCAGCCTTGGCCTCCCAAAGTGCTGGGATTACAGGGGTGAGCTATGGTGCCAGGCCTGTGTTTATTATTCTGTACTTATGAAGCAAAAGACAGTATATAAAATGCAGATTATTTTATCATTTAAATCTAAATATATACATGATATTGAAAACTATATCTGTACCCCATTCATCATATCTTTTCTTCTTTTAACATTGTGACCATAGTACAAAGGTATTTAGTTCTCATTTTAATGCAGTGGTTTGCAAAATTTTGAGATTTGTTATTTTTGTTTATATTTGACATTGTTAAAGCAGAACCCTTTTTTATCCAATTAAATCTTATACAGTATCCTAATATATAAAATATTAAAGTTGAGCTTCTCTGACCAGAGTGGGAGAAATGACCAAGTGAGCTGCTGAAACAACTCCACAAGACCTTAGAAATATAAGAAAGAACTTAAAATTACTGATGTAGGATATTCTTTTGACCAGGTTATGTTAAAAAGAAAAAACAAAACAAAACTAAAAAACAACAGATCCAGATTCTCTCTAGCAAAATTGAAGAGTGAGTTCTTGGTTATTGATGGTATTTCATATTGACTCCTTAATATATTTAAAATTAAAAATAATTTTGTGATGATTACAAAAAAGCATTGAAAAATAGAAAGGGTAATTTATCATTCAGCAAATTCAGAAATGCTATCCAAATATCTAATTATATAGTTTATGAGCTCTCTTGTTTCTTCTGAAAGACCAGAGTGAGGAAAGTTGGTGTTGAGCAAAATTATGTAAGATGGTATGGAAAATGGTCAAGTTGAATGTGAGACACTGAATCTATAGGCTAAGAATTAGATGGAGGAAATTATTAATAGGTATTGTTAGGCATTTAAGGCCTGGCACATTCTTTTGGCTGCTGGTGGTTTCTCCAGCTTTATTTGTTTCAGATTTTTAATTTTAAACTGATGTTCTCTGTTTCTCCTGACTCTGATATCTGATGCGGTTGAAATTAGCTTAATAACTGTTTTTTTTTCTGCTTGGCAGCAAGACTCTGAACTTAACCTTCATGATTTTTTATGCAATATGCATTCAAGCCAGATCTGAATCTTTGTTTGTTGACCTCAGATGGCTCCCTGCTTCCTTTCTTTCCTTTCCCTCCCTCTCTTCTTTCCTTCTCCTCCCTCCCTCCTTCCCTCCCTCCCAGAATTTTCGGTAGCTGTGATTTAGTTCTACTTGATGATACGTACCAAGAACTAGATTCGGAGGGGACTCCATTTAGGTGACTGAGTTACAATACCCATTGCCTACTTTAAGCTGATCTTTAAGCTACTATAAATTGAAGACGCTTAATTGAGAAGGTCTTTATGTAACATGGCCTTAGAATATTTGATTATGTAACCTTGCTGATTAATGTGAGGCTAGTGGAAGGCCATCCTGAGTGGTATATAGGTATAAAAGAAGCATGGGAAATGGAATGCACAAACACTTTCTATACTTCTCTACCGTTTTTTCCCATCAGAGAGAGAACACAGAATCAGGGGCAGAGCCTTTACAGTTAGTGATTTATAGGACTCTACTAAATGACAGAAGCAGCAGAAATGCCGCAATAAAGACATGTGTTTTTACCGTAGAGAATAGTTCCTAAAAGTTCAAGTGTTAATTTAAAGCCAAGGTAGAGAGAAGGTGAGACATCATTAATTGTAGCTATATACTTAAGCCCTGTTCAGCCTTTTATCTGCTAGTGACACATTTTGCTTGTTGTACATTGTTCTACTTTATGATAATAAACTATAATGTTTCTAAATCCTAAGCTTCCTTATTCCTATCTGGGAAAAACAAAGCTGCTTCTATTTCCTGTGCTTGTCACTTTAACTTTTTAATCTAGTACTTGTGTATTGTGTAAGAAATGGGTGAAAACACACATCAGAAATTACAGTCATAGGCCTATCAGGCACTGAAAGAAGTCTTTAAAGTTTTCTAGGGTAGAATTTTTATCTTTAAACAATTGACAGACAAAACTAAGACTGAGGTATGTCTCTTAATTTTGTCTAGGAATATATCTTGGTTTTGGGATATCCATTTAAGCCAGATCTGAATCTTATCCATATTTTGGGAATATGGATTGCATTGTTTCCATTGATTGATTGAGAACTCAGCCTGACTTCTATAGTCTTAATATTTATTAATTTCATAAAATTAATCCTTTGGTTACTAAAAATATGAAAAGGAAATATGATTCTTATGAGTACATCAAATGGTTTACATTTTTATAGGTTGCTTTACTGGATATGACTTTTGCTTAATGAGGTTGGTCTGTTAAATGTTTTTTTTTTTCCTCACAGAAGGTGATAAAGTACAATTTGAAGAATTTGCAAAAGTAGTAAAGAATATGCGTGATGCCTCCAGGTTAAAGGGTAAGTACTGAATTATTTATAATGGTTAGATTTACTTTCATTGAAAGGACTTGTTTTTGTTTTTTAATGTTGTGTGTTCAGCCAATTTCTGGTTAACATGTTGGGACTGATATGTTTACATGCAGACAAAATTTGGTTTTGATTAAAAGTTGGCTGGCATATAGGAACTTGGTTTTGATTAAAAGCTGGCTGACAATAAGGATGAGCCTAGCCTCAGAGCACGTTGACCTCTTAACTTCAAAAGGCCTTTATTTCTTTTCCAAAGTCATCTACACCAGTGGCTATCCTTAATCCTTATCATTACCTAGAATTGTCTATTCCACCTTTAAAATCTTAAACTACAATCTCAGACACTGACCATATTCCCTTAAAATTACACGTGTAGATATTGAAAGAAGGCATAGAACTTTATTCATACATGCCTATTCTTTTGGCTCCTTCAAGTTCTTCAAATAGTCTAGAGACAGTATACCAGTTTTATCAGTTAGTAATGAAGGATACATTCTGAAAGCCAAGCTCCTATATGCTTGGCTTTCAGAATGTATCCTTGATTTCTTCCCTTTCCCTCCCTCTCCTTCCCTCCCTCCCTCCCTTCCTCCTTCTCTCTCCCAGAATTTTCAGTAGCTGTGATTTAGTTTTATTTGATTATACGTACCAAGAACTAGATTCGGAGGGGACTCCATTTAGGTGACTGAGTTACAATACCCATTGCCTACTTTAAGCTGATCTTTAAGCTACTATAAATTGAAGACAGTTAATTGAGAAGGTCTTTATGTAACATGGTCTTAGAATATTTGATTATATAACCTTGCTGATTGATGTGAGGCTAGGCTCATCCTTATTGTCATTGGATGAAAATGGGATGAGAGATAGAAGGAGGATTATGATCAAAGTGCCAAAATCTTCAGAGAATGTGAAGGAGTGATTAGACAGTAAATCAATAATGTTGTCAGGAGAGTGGCACAGTTGAATAACAGGCCTGAGCCTCAAGGGAGAAGATAAGGTTTAATTGAAGGTGAAACTAAAATGGCCTGACAGCAGCAGCAGCAGAAGGATAGGAAAATGCTATTCTGCTTCCTGGTCCTACAGTCTGTGGAGCATGGGAAGATGAGCAGACTCCACTCAAGGTGGTTGTGCAAAAAAACTGTTTTTAAAGGAAATCAAGTGCTAAGGCAAAAAAGCAGAGCTGGTACAGTTTTTTTTGGGTGTCAGCAATTTCAGATTGCCATCTGTAGTTGCCTCCTAGTGATGCTAGGGAAACAGGAAGGTGAGGTAGGATATAAAGCTTAAACTGTGATTACTGTTTGCAGCTAGTTTCTGTTGGCTTTAATAATAATAGCAGTAAAATTAATTTTACTCTATAATTATGAAATGTATTGAGGCATTATTATATGCTGCTGTCTTAAGTACTTTTTGTACATTATTATATTTACTCTTCACATCAACCTTGTGAGGTAGATATTAGTATTATCCCATTTTAGATGAAAGAGAGGTTAAGTAGTAATAATTTGCTCACAGTTACATAGTTCCAGGTTACAAGTCCTGGAGCTAGAATTTGAATGTGGGTCTGACTTAACCAGGGCTGTAAATGAAGCAACATTTTAGATGCTAGGGTACAGTTGAGTCCTGGTGGAATTGAAAAGGATAACTTAATGAGCCCTTGTAAATCTTGTCCCATATTTTACATTTTTCATGATTCTGAAAGTTATTTTGCCTATATCTTGACGAGTTAATTTTGTTTGCTTCCATTAGAGGTCCATAGCAAAATACTTTGTATAATTGCAGTAAAAAAATCCACTATATGAGTGATTTTGGTTGTGCAAATTTTATAAAAGCACCAGATAAATATCAAAGATCAAGAGAACCCTTTGCACATTGTGCTGCTGGTCATAGAATTCTATGAGGGCTGAATTTCTCTTGAGATTTCTTATTCCTCAGTTCAGGATGTAATAATAAACTATGGATTTCCACTAACAAATGTCTTGAGTGATGGCTGCTGCTTTTGTTTTTTTAACAAGAGGTTAGTTTAATTATTAAATAACTTTTTTCTACTTGTAGAGTTACAAGAAGTTGTCTTAGCTGCTGATTTGCTTGAAGGTGACATGATAACTGGGAAGAACTTGGAAGACTTTCTAAGAAATATTGGTATTAAGTCACCTAAAGAAGAGGCAGAGAAAATTCTTCAATCAGATTTTGTTTCTGGTAAGCATTTTAAATATTACTCTCAGAGTTTTTTTTTTTTTTGTATGAATACCTATAAAGAAGATGTGCGAGGTCTATAGATATTTGCTTATATTACTATAAATGTAATCTTTGAAACGGAGCCTGTCCTCTTAATTTCCTCTTTCACAGTTATGAGAATACTTTTATACAAGCAGGTCTAGATTTAGTGGAAGTGGGCTTGTTAGAATCCTCTCTCCTCATTGCTATCTTGATTTAGTGAATAAAGAACATCTTAAGAATTCAAGTTCTGTGAATAGAAATCCTAGTTTTGCTACCTTGATCAAATTACTCCTCAAAGTTACTGGGGCTTTCTTTGTACTTCAGTTCCCATTGTAGGTAGAATCAGTTCCCATTGTAGGTATACTTAAAACACTGTAGGGTTATTGCAATGCTTAATGGATGGAAATGAATCTAAAATTACCTTGTAAATAAAATGTTCAAGAAATATGTAAGTTATATGCTGATTTTGATGCTAGGCTTTGAGTATTACTTTGTCCAGGGGTTCTCATTTGTCATCTCTCTCTTTTTGTTGCAGAAGATAACATGGTGAACATTAAAGACTGTATGAAGGCTTTGAGGGACACCCAGAAATTTTCCAATTATATTGGTAAGAGCTTTAAGGTAAAACTGTTAGAAGGCAACAATACAGAACTTATTCAAAGTTCATCTAGTAAAGCACTAAATTTGGTGTTTAAATCTTCTTTATAGTATCTGTGCCAAATGTTTGTTTCATATGTACTTGAACACTTCCAGTTATGGGGAACTTCCTGCATTTTATTTTTAAATTTAAGAATTGTACATTTGTGATTGGAGATTGGAGAAAATGACAAGGTTATGATCTTTTCCAATAGTTAAAATAAGACACCTTTATTATATATGAATGAATAGTTCTTTTTAATGTTGTAAAAAATTTAAATGACCAAGAATGTAGTATAAAGTGCAATTCTTGTAACGTCACCCTCCAGAAATATCCCTATTAAGGTTTGGTAGGTATCCTTTTAGACTTTCTTCTTTATATCCATTCATGATATTGCACAACTTGTGTGCAATATATGACAGTATATCTTGGATATAATTCTGTTCCATTGTATTATATAAACCTACCTCATTTTTTAAAAAAGACTGCCTAATATTCTACTAGAGGAATGTACTATAATTTTGTCTATAAAACTTTTAATAAACATTTAGGCTATTGCCATTTTTTACTATTAACAAACATGTGGTGAGTATCGTTGTACATATATCATTGTGCACATTGCACACAATTTTTCTGTAGGACAAATTCCTCAGCAGTGGACTTGCTGGGCCAAAGTATTTTTAGATGCAAACTTTTAACAAGCTACTGCCTAATTACCCTCCTAAAAATTTGTAGAAATTCACATTTTTACTAACAGTGGTTATTATTTATTAAAAATTTTGATAGGAGCATTAATACTTTGTCTTACCCATTTCAGGTTTTTTCTAGTTTATTATTGATTTTTTGACTTTGTTTTTGGTGGATTGCTTTTTACCATCTTTTGTCTTATTTTGTCATTTTGGTAATTTGATTCTCATAGGAAATTTTAAATTTTATTGAGGTTTAAAATTACTTAGAATATTAGGACAGTTCTATGCATTTATAATTATTTCGATTTTTTTGTATATATGGTTATTTTCTCATTCTTAAATATACATATATATGTATATAAACAGAATATATATATTATATAATTATATATAATATATTATATAATAAATTATATAATAAATTATATAATAAATTATATAATATATTATATATTATATATATTAAATATAATATATTATATATTATATATATTAAAACATATATTTTATATATGTTTCTTCTTTGTTTGCTACTGAATGTTCTATTATCTCTTTTTAAAGTACTAGCTCTTGGGTTTGTCTTTAGTGTTTCTGTTTATATTTTAAAAATTAATTTCTGGTTTTATCTTTAGTAAGTTATTTATATTGTTCTCTTATGCTCATTTAATACCTTTTCTAATTTCTTATTTAAATTATTTATTTTCTTTTTTTTTTTCTTGCTGAGTAATCAATATGTTTAAGGTGGTCAATTTTCATTTTAGTGAAACTTTGATTTATTTGACAGTCTCTGACTTGTTAGGCTATTATTATTGTTATTTTATAAACATTTCCAGTTGCATTTTGATTTTCTCCTTGATGTGAGAGTTACTTAGGAGGAAACTTTAAATTTCAAAGCAATTTAAATGTCATTATTGCCTTAAGTTTGTTGTTTATATCTAGTTGTATTTTATTGTGGTCAGAGAATGAGGTCTATAATAGAGGGTTTGATAGTTCTCTAGTTCATTAGAGACAGAATTCCCTCAATCTTTGTATTTACTATTTAAAAATCAAAATCAAATTAGTTGGTTGCAGGGATAGGATAGGTAAGGTAAATTCACTCATTTCACTCTTTGTCTTGGAAGTCCATATGACTTTTTCAAGTAACTCATTCCATAATTTTGGACAGCTACAGAACTAGAAAATTATTTCACATATTTGGTGGAAATCCATTCCTGGAACCATATTTAACATTTGGACTCTTCCTGCCATTAATAGCTCTCCAGAAATGTCAAGATAACTCACATATTCTCATTCTTTCCTGCTAAATTCATCTTCTCTCTAGACTCAAATATACTTTCAACTCTTCTTCATGACCTGTTTTTGAAACTTCTTACCAGTGACTAATGACTATATCATATAACAACATCCTGAGAGATGACTTTTTAGAAATATACTTTGGAAATGTGAACTTCTAAAGTTTTTTTAAATCAAGGGAGGTCAGCCATGGTTTTCCTAGTTTAAATATTTGTTACTGCGCTAAACATAAGAGACTATGACGATTCTCTAAAATGTGTGAAGTTAGCAAGGGATGCAGGGAAAGAAAGAGAAAAATTGGCATTTAGGAAGAGTTGTGAGGAATGAAGAGGACTTTACTGAAATGTTGAGCTTATTGAGACAGTAACCAGAGAAACTTTAGTATACTTTTGCCTGTAGCAGAATAGCTCACCCCAAACCCAGACATTTAACAAATTAATTTTAAGAATAAAGAAAAGGGTTATTTTAAACTATTAGAGTTCCAAATAGAAAGCTATTGGAGTGGAGAAAACTACTGAAATAGGGTTATAGAAAATTATCACAGTAGAGAATGGACCACTCTGCACATTTAAATGGGCACATGGGGCTGGTGACTGCCTTATTGGACATTGTAGATCTCAAAGAGGCCATCAGTTTTGTTGTTATGCTCAAAAGATTTAGATCCATGTCCTGAATTACATGTTATTATGTATATTCTCTATTTGTAGCATTGAATGAGACTATCAATACATTGGACTCCATGAAAGAAAATTGTCAGTTTGACAAAGACAAAAATCCAGATGTACTTGAAAACACTGATAGGCTTTCTTTTACTGATGACATTCTTCAGGAAATAATGGGTGACTCCTTTGTTGATGGTGAGTTGATTTGGCAGATAACCAGCAGCTTGTATAAAAAATTTTCTCTGAATTTTATTTAGGTTTTTTTTTTTTTAATTTAGGAAGGTCAGCCATGGGGTTCCTAGTCCAAATGTTTTATATTACTGATCTTCTAAATTTTTATCCAAGGATTTCAAACTATTTTACCAAGTGCTAATTAAGTCTTAATACTTGGCCCCTAAATCACACCATTAACTTGTTGGACACTTTACTGTAGAACATATTTAGGTCTACACGTTATATGTGCCCACAGAGATTTAGTCATTACAGTATCAAGTTCCTTGGTGATCTGATGACCTGGATTGTAAAATTGGTCTCAGAGTATTTATATATTTTGTTGCATAGCTTTGAAGAATAATTTTATTTCAAAGTTAATCCTTCTCCTTTTATGTGTTTTAGAGAGGTCTTAATGGTTTTGTAACTTTCTGTTTTTGGGTGAAAGACCCTTTGAGAAGTACAGGTATTGTTGAAAAATTAAAATATGTTTATTTCTATAGCCAATTGTAAGTGTTGAGTTGGTTTTTACTTTATTTACAAAGAATTTACCTGATCCATCTATATACCCTCAACTTGGATGTACTGAGGTGGATTTTACCCCATATTTAGAAAGCCATTTCCTGGCCATACTGCCCAGAGTAATTTATAGATTCAATGCTATCCCCATCAAGCTACCATTGACTTTCTTCACAGAATTAGAAAAAAACTACTTTAGATTTCATATGGAACCAAAAAAGAGTCCGCATAGCCAAGACAATCCTAAGCAAAAAGAACAAAGCTGGAGGCATCACACTATCTGACTTCAAACGATACTACAAGGCTACAGTAACCAAAACAGCATGGTACTGGTACCAAAACAGATATATAGACCAATGGAATAGAACAGATACCTCAGAATAACACCACACATCTACAACCATCTGATCTTTGATAAACCTGACAAAAACAAGCAATGGGGAAAGGATTCCCTATTTAATGAATGGTGTTGGGAAAACTGGCTAGCCATATGCAGAAAACTGAAACTGGACCCTTTCCTTACAATTTATACAACAATTAACTCAACATAGATTAAAGGCTTAAATATGAGACCTAAAACCATAAAAACCCTAGAATAAAACCTAGGCAATACCATTCAGGACATAGGCGTGGGCAAAGACTTCATGACTAAAACACCAAAAGCAATGGCAACAAAAGCCAAAATTGACAACTGGGATCTAATTAAAGAGCTTCTGCAAAGCAAAATATCATCAGAGTGAACAGGCAACCTGCGGAAAGGGAAAAAATTTTCGCAATCTATTCATCTGACAAAAGCCTAATATCCAGAATCTACAAGGAACTTAAACAAATTTACAAGAAAAAAACAACCCCATCAAAAAGTAGGCAAAGGATATGAACAGACATTTCTCAAAGGAAGACATTTATGTAACCAGCAAACTTATGAAAAAGAGCTCATCATCACTGGTCATTAGAGAAATGCAAATCAAAACCACAATGAAATACTATCTTACACCAGTTGGAATGGTGATCATTAAAAAGTCAGGAAACAACAGATGCTGGAGAGGGTGTGGAGAAATAGGAACACTTTTATACTGTTGGTGGGAGTGTAAATTAGTTCAATCACTGTGGAAGACACTGTGGCTATTCCTCAAGGATCTAGAACCAGAAATATCATTTGACCCAGCAATCCCATTACTGAGTATATACTCAAAGGGTTATAAATCATTCTGCTTTAAAGACACATGCACATGTATGTTTACTGCAGCACTATTTACAGTAGCGAAGACTTGGAACCAACCCAGATGCCCATCAATGATAGAATAGATGAAGAAAACGTGGCATATATACCATGAAATACTATGCAGCCATAAAAAGGATGAGTTCATGTCCTCTGCCAGGACATCGATGAAGCTAGAAACCATCATTCTCAGCAAACTAACACAGGAAGAGAAAACCAAACAGTACATGTTCTCACTCATAAGTGGGAGTTGAACAATGAGAACACATGGACACAGGGAGGAAAACATCATACACCGAGGCCTGTGGGAGAGTAGGAGGCTAGGGTAGCATTAGGTAGCATTAGGTAGCATTAGGAGAAATACCTAATGCATATGATGTGTTGATGGGTGCAGCAAACTACCATGCCTGTGTATACCTATGTAACAAAGCTGCACATTCTGCACATGTATCTCAGAACTTAAAATATAATAATAAAAAAAGTAATTTCCTGCCTTTAAATTTAGCTTCATCTAAAAAATGTAATCAGGCTGGGGGCAGTGGCTCACACCTATAATCCTAGCACTTAGGGAGGTCAAGGCAGGCAGATCACCTGAGGTCAGGAGTTTGAGAACAGTCTGGCCAATGTGGCGAAATCCCATCTCTACTAAAAAAAATACAAAAATTAGCCTGGCATGGTGGTGCATGCCTGTAGTCGTAGCTACTTGGGAGGCTGAGGCACAAGAATACTTGAATCTGGGAGGTAGAAGTCATAGTGAGCCGAGATGATGCCACTGCACTCCAGCCTGGGTGAGAGAGCAAGACTCTGCCTCAAAATAAATAAATAAATAAAAAGTATGATCAAATCCCTCATTGCCCCCCACCTCACACCAGGGAATATTTGGCAATATCTAGAGACAATGTTGGTTATCACAACTGATGGGAGAGTACTACTGGCATCTAGTGAATAGAGGTAAGGGTTGCTGCTAAACATCCTACAATTTACAGATAATACCCTTGCCCCCAAATAATTATCTGGCCAAAAATATTAATAGTGTCTAGGTTCAGAGATCTTGTTTTAGAGTTATATAAAATTGCCCAAACCTACTATTTTAAGAGTACTTTTTATAGGTTAGTTGTTTTGTTCATCCTGCTTAAAACAAAAACACAAAGCAAATATAATTTATGTATATTTTAATCTCTGTTTGTTTCAAGGTAATACCTGGGCTGAGTTATTCTAAACTGTTCTTTAAGTACAGTAGGGTCCATCTATGCAAATGAACAGATTTTATTTCTGTTGTTTGTTCCTCAGATCTCTATACCAATTTGCATCTCGGTAGGAAGTGTGTGGGGTGAATGGGTATAACTGTAACTTGTCCTTAGGAAAAATTCTAGGATTAGGTAATAGATAGGTAGGTAAGAGATCAAAAAGGACAGTGTAGACCAATAATTAAGCATTTTATTGAACAGATAGGCTGGGGATTAACTTGTCCCTTTAGGGAGAAAGGAAGCATTTGTGACATTAGAAACTGCCACATTTAAGGAGTTAGTGGAAGATAACCATGAGAGAGCCTAAGAAGTAAGCAAAGAATGAGGAGAGAATGGATATTTTGGGAGCCAGAGAACAATTTTTGAGAAGAGAATGGTCATTGATGATAAATGTTAGTGGGAAAAGAAGTATTCAGTCTGTCCATTGGTTTTCTTTTAAACCTGGGTAAGATCAGGATGCCATTCCTCATTGTATAATCTCTCTCTCTGTAAATTTGCAGGTTTTAGGAAAGAGGCTTCAGATCTAAAATTACCAACGGTAAATGGTGAGTAAGAACTTTGTATATGAGAAAGATTTCAATAATAAGAGATATTTTTTTAGAATAATTGCCAAGTACCAATGTATTTCTACTTTTTCCTGCCTACTTCACCCTGATTACTATTTTTCCACAATAGAAATCTGATCATGTTACCTCCCCCTATTTATAACTCTTTAAACATTTCCTGTTGTTATTAGGATAAAGATTAAAATCCTCCATGCCCTATCTCTCTAGCATTATTTTGTACCATTATCCTTGCTTTGTGTACTCCAACTAAATTGACTTAAGTTCCTTACTCTCCTTTCCGCTCACCACAAGACTTTTGCATATTCTATTCCCTGGAATATTCTTCCCTGATCCTCTTCGCCTACTGTTGTAATCCATTTTGTGTTGCTATAACAGAATACCACAGACTGGATGATTTGCTTAAAAAAAAAGAAAAATATATTTATTTCTTATATTTCTAGAAGCTGGGAAATCCAAGGTCAAGAGGCCCACATCTAGTGAGGGCTCTCTTGCTGTGTCATCCCATGGTAGAAGGCAGAAGGGCAAGAAAGTTTGAGAGAGCAACAGAGCAAGAGGAGACTGAACTTACTTTTATAACAAGCCCACTCTTGCAATAACTGAATCACTGACATTAATTCATTCATGAGGGCAGAACCTTTGTGACTTAACCTCCTCTTATTAGGCCCCACTTGTCTACACTGTTGAATTGGGGATTAAGTTTCCAGCACATAAACTTTGGGGAACACAATCAAACCATAGCATTACACCCCTGGCTCTCAAAATTGATGCCCTTTTTACATGCAAAATACATTCATTCCATCTGAATAGCCCCAAAAGTCTTAACTTGTTCCTGCATCACTCAAAGGTCCAGATTCCAGAGTCTCATCTTAATCAGATGGGTAAGACTCAAGGCGTAATTTATCTTGAGGCAAATTCTCCTCCAGTAGTAAGCCTGTGAAATTAGCAAGGTACATGCTTCTAAAACACATAGGCATAGGATAGACATATCCATTCCAAGAGGGTGAAATAAGTGAAAAGAAAGGGATAATTGGTCCCAAGTAAGCCTGAAGCCAAAAAGGGAAAACAACATTAAGTCCTAAAGCTGGAAAATAATCTCTTTTGACTCTATGAGTCAATTATAGAAAAGCCTATTATCAGTGGCTACTATAGGTCACTTTTTTTTGTTTCCTTTGTTATATGCTCCTATTAAACTGTGTCCATTTCATAGCACTTAATTCATATTATAAATATCTGTTCATGTTTTTGATTATTTGATTAATATCTCTTCCTCCCACTTACCTTTACCTGGTATCATTGGGTCAAGAACTGTGTCTCCACTTTGCTTACCATTGTATCTCCAGGACTTAGCACAGTCCTGGCTTTTATTAGACTCTTAAAGATAACTAATACTAGCATCTGATACTTATGTAATATTTACTATGCTACGTATTGTTCCAAATCTTTTGTTATTAACTCATAATCGTAAATAATTATTGAATGAATAACTGAATAGATCTGTCTTCTTATCTCTTCAGCCTCACCTTTTATTACTTCTGCATTTGTATTTATCCTGTAGCCACACTACTTAGCACAACTTAAATTGGCACTATTTGCTTTTTTATTTACATGTACTGTTTCCTTTGGATGCATTCCCTGACAGACAAACTAACATTACCCCCCCCAAAACTCAGCTCAAATGTCATTTCTCATGCCATAAGACTGCCTTCTCAGTATTCATCACTTATTAAATCTAGGTTAGGTGAATTGTCGCACTGCTTCCATAATTTTGTATGTGTATTTTTCTCGTATCACTTACTATATAATATATTATAATTTTGTGTATAGATATGACAGGTTTATTCTCTCTCATCAAGGAACTTACAAACTCTTTCACAAGAGAGACTGAATTTTTTTATTGTTGATCTTAGGAGCTGTAAAGTAATTGTTAATAGAATGAATATAGGTCTAAGATGATATTATGGTGTTCTTTCCAAGTGACCTCCATGAAGGTTTAGATCTCCTGGTGTAATGCAACAATTTTCAGAATATGGAAACATAGACAACTTCATTTGGGGGTTGAGGGAAAAATGGATTGAGAAATGGTATGAATGAAAAATTAGGCTGGGTGTGGTGGCTTACACCTGTAATCCCAGCACTTTGGGAGGCCGAGGCAGGAGGATCACTTGAGCTCAGAAGTTCGAGACCAGCCTGGCCAACATGGCAAATCCTTGTCTCCACTAAATATTAAAAAAAAATTACCTGGGCATGGTGGTATGCACCTGTAATCCCAGCTACTCAGGAAGCTAAGGCAGGAGAATTGCTTGAACCTAGGAAGTGGAGTTTGCAGTGAGCCGAGATCGCACCACTGTACTCCAGCCTGGGTGACAGAATGAGACTCCATCTCTAAATAAATAAATAAATAAATAAATACATACATACCAGATAATGATTATGTTTTATATTTTAAATTGATGTGAGATCGACAGGACTGCCCCATTTGGTTATATGGGTTGTGCTTTGCATATAGGTGCCTGGTTGAGAGAGCACAAGTGGAGGTTGAAATGCAGTTCATACTCCAAGCTTTGAACCTCTGTGCTGGATTGCAGTTGCCTAGTGAAACTGCCCTTTTTTGTAACTGATGCATAGAGAAGAGGTGTCTTTTTCCAATTTACACAAAAGCACAATATGAACTATCCCAGGCCCTGGGCTCAGAAGCTTCAATCTCTAATTTTAGCCTTTATTTACATCATCAGGTGATAGAAATCCTTAGACCTACATGTACAGGGCATAACTATTACTTAAGGGAGGCATACAGCTCATTCAGTTTTTAATGGATGAATGAATGAAGATAAAGTCTTATTATAATATATGTCAATAGCCCATCATATTATTCTCTTAGCCATAAAATTTTTTTGTTTCGAATGCTGCTTGAGGGAAATGGGCCATCAGTTACAAATAGAAAATATTGTGTTTCCTTTGGGGAGATTTTGGTTCAGACAATATTTAATTTGAGGGTTTACCTATAGTAAATTTTGGACAAATTATTTTGAATGTTTTTTACACTACAATATCTTGTGTACATTTATCTTTGTAGAGATTAAAGAAGCTGCTTACATCTTGTCACATGTTGATAATGCCAAGATTGGTATACCTGACTTGGAGCATGCCTTAAAATGTTTGAATGTTAATTTAACTGAGGAGGACTTCAAGGAAGCCCTTAACTGTTGTAACATCAGTGGTGAGCAGTTTTTGGCCTGAGATTCTTTTCATTTTTTTCCTACTTATGAAAAATAGTCTTAGAGAGTAAGATGCTAAAGGGAATCATTTTTCTGTTGGAGGCTTAGGTTGATACAAATTAGAGCCAAACCAGTGTACTAATTTAAATATTCATTGAACTTATCTATCTATTCATACTCATATGGATACTGTATATGCTTATTTAGATAATTACCATTCATTACTTATAAGCATGTGTGGAAAAATACCATAAATTGTATATATAATAAAATAAAGACATGACAACAGCAGCTTATTTTGATATACAATCTTTTTCAGAGTAGGTCTGCTTTAATTTTTTTTTTTACAGTACTTGTTCTGTTTTTATTTTTAACCATATGAAATATCTGAGAGCTCACTACATTTTAAAATAAGTCATTTAGGTTTAGTCATTGATTTCAAGTAGTCCATATTTACCTCGTTTTCTGTCTTTGACTTCATGTAGTATGTACTTGATTGCCTTTCCTATACACATTTACTTTTAGGAAGTCAAATCATTTGGGACTACTTCTAGAAGCCGCTGAGTTCTGTTGGTTTTAGGTGAACATTTATTTTGGGCTTATCTTAACCAATTTGTGTCTTTGGGAATCCTGTGAGTCCTAGGTTTAAGAATATCTCTCCAGAACAGTTTAGTTATTGATTTTCTCAGGTTCCCTAGATTGTTATTCACCTAGATCAATTTTTATTTTTTGACCTTAGTTTTCTAACATCATCAGAGTGGTATAAATTTAGACTTCCCACCTACATGAGATGCATTTTGGGCCTTCAATTTCTCACAAGAGATTTTTTTTCCCACTGTCTCTCAGAATTGGGAAGACTTAGGCCTTCTTGTTTACTTGAGCCAATAAATATAATATTTTAATTTCTTTTTTTAAAACCAAGATTGAAACCCTTTAAGCATTTCAGTTTTATTTGGTATCTAAGTTCCCACTCTTATTTATATGGGCTTGAATCTTTTTTTATGACTCTGTATGAGCATTTAAATCAAGCACCTAGCCATTTCTGGGTCTCATCTCTATCCCCAAGATAGTTTTAGTGTTAGTACTCAGTGCTTAGCATTCTGGATCTCAGTTCCTGGTTAACTTTTTGTTATTTCCTTCATATGACTCAGTCACACATCCATGGAATGTTATATGTTATAGAGCATCTCTAGGGGTTTGTAGTCAGATGGTTTCTGCCCTACCCAGGTCTGCCTTTTTGTTTAAACTCAGAGTCTCCTTAATATAACTATAGCCCTAGATTGTCTACTGTGTCACATTATTGCACCTTACTTCACTTGTGACTGTGTGTGTGTGTGTGTGTGTGTGTGTGTGTGTGTTGTGTGTGTGTACAATATCTACATGTGCATGTATGTGTGTATTCTAATAACATTGTCTCCTCTGGCCTTAGACTGCATCAATTCAAACACAATCCCTAACACTCCCTGACTTTGTGACCTGGACAAGTTATTTAATTTCCATTTACTTTCGTCTTTTAAAAATAGACATGTAAAGAATATCCACATCATAGAATTATCGTGAAAATTATCTGATTTAATATATGTAAAACACCATGCAAGGGTGCCTAGTATATATAAGGAACTCAAAAATGTTAGCTATTGTTTGCTGGTAATATTATTAACTATTCACTGGGTAGTTTATAAAAGTGTTAAAAGTTCTATTGAAATAGTTTCAATCATTTGAGACAGAAAAGTGAGCTAGAGTGAAATTTTAGCTCTTTAGAGTGAAATAAATCCGTCTTTATTTCATGTGCCAATTCAGTATCAGGTTTTTAATGGCAGCATGTTTGACTTTGACCTTCCAGATAATATGGAGGTGGATTTAAAAGATTTCTTAATGAAAATGAAGGAAAGTCCACATTTCCAAAAGTCCAAGGGTAAGTGAATATTTCTTGTTCAAGAGAGTGGCTAGAAAATACATATTAATAAATGACATTTAAAAATCACTATCTGGATTTCAGGTTTTAAATTTTTAGCCTCTCTAGTTTTAAAAAGGATTTCAAGCCACTTATGCTGTATAATATAAGTAATATAATAATATAAAAATAAGTGAAGAAAATTGGGCAAAGATATAATGAGGTGGAAAATAAGGCAAGGTTAAAAAGATTCATATTAAGTGCCTTTACTATTATTGCAAGGTCCTTTCCCAAAGGTAGCTAGATTTTTCTTAATTCAAGAACTTCTGGATCTGTGAATTAAATCATGTGTGGAATTGGATGAGGTGCCATCAGTTTTTGTTGTGTCATTTTAAGTCATGCCTCTGGAGTTTTCAGGTGTACGCAACTGGACTGCCCATCTATATCAGTTATAGAAATCCTAACTTCAGTTAATAAGTCCTTCTAAATCCCTGCAGTATCAATCCATGTATTACCATACTATCGATGTTGCCTAACCACATCATTTTGCCCTTGCTATTTAAAGACTTCTGCTTGGCCTCTGTCCCTGAGGTTCATCTTATTCTTTTTGAAATTAGGGAGGCCATTTCAACACCAACATATTTTCCTAACCCCTAAGTCTGTAAAGAACTCCTACCAAAGAACTCTTCATGGATGCAGACACCCTTATCAATGATGTATTTCTAAATGCTTTGGTGAAGCAAATGTCCTTATCTCACATTTTTTACATTTTAATATCTCCAAAATTGGATGCCTTATAATATTTTTAATCAGATGTAGCTTTTAAAATTGAGAAATAATTTATATACCATTAACTTCACCCTTTTAAAGTGTACCATTCAGTGATTTTTTTTTTTTTTTTT